GGCGGGGGGCCGCGAGGGGGGCCGCGTCTGGCTCTCTTACCGCGCGGCCCACGCCCTGTCTGGGCCTGATATGAAGGGCCTGAATCGCGTTGAGAGGGCCGCCCATGGCGCTCGGGGTGCGGGTCGGCCGCGCGCGTCCCAGGGCCCACGTGCTGCCTGCGGCGGCCGAGCCAGGGCTGAGGCGGCTCAATAATCGCTGCAGCTCCCTTGCGACTGCAAGCATGCCCCGTCACCAACTGCATCCGCCCCTCCCTTCTGCCCTCCGTTTGCCCCCGCCTTTCTCCCCCAGGTGCCTCCAGGCGCAGTGGCTGCTGAGTGACGTCATCCCCACCAAGTGGCTGACCCTCTTCACGCAGCCCTGGGAGGGTGACGTCACCATCGTGCTGCCAAAGTGGGTCCTAGCGGTGGTCGGGTTGCCAGCGGTTTTGAGGGGAAGCTGTTTAAACGGGCAGGACGCAAGCCGGTCGCACCTCTCATGTCAGCGCTACGGCCGCGCATCAACTTTGCCTCTGGATGTCAGTCGAGCCGCGGCAGCGCGGCGGCCCGTCTGTCCAGTGGCGACGGGCACCTCGCGTCACCTTTCCAGCCGGCCAGCACCTCCCCACACCGCCCATTCCCAAGGCTTGAAAACCACTCCGTATGAAACATTCCCATAGCCCAACCCCTCCCCACCCCCCCAAAAAAAACAAAACCCACCCCCAACCGCAGTGCCCTCTACAGCATCGGCAAGTCCATCACTAACCCCACCTCCGCCGAGCTCATGCGCGCCACCAAGCTGGGGGAGCGCCACGTGTGGGAGAAGCTCTCCGCCATCGAGGCCAACTGCGCGGTGGAGGCAACCCTCGACGCCTGCCTGGCGCGGCTGACCAACAAGGCGCGCGAGCGGCCGCTGGGCGGGCTGGCGAATCGGATCCCGAGCTGGCTCTGCATGAGCTCGGTGGGTCAGCAGGCGGTCGCGAGCTGGGGCAACCCGCTGCGGTCGAGCGCGAGCGCGCTGTGGGGGCCGGGGGGCTGGCGGGGCAGCGCGCTGGACCTGCGGGCCGCGGCCAGCCACGGCAGCGGCGCCGCGCTCGCGGCCGCGGTGGCCGCGGCGGCGGCCGCGTCGCCAGCGGCCGGCGGCGGCGGCGGGCAGGGGGTCCCTGGGACGGGCGAGGCGATGGCCGCCGCGGCGGCGGCGGCGATGACGGGGCAGCCCCTGCCGCGCGGCGGCCTCAATTACTACCACCCCACCGCGGCGCAGCTCGGCAGCTTCTCCGGCAGCTTCTCGGGCAGCTTCCCGGGCAGCTTCCCGGGCCGCGGCGGCATGCACTTCCCCGGCGGGCACGGCCTGCCGCTCTCCGGCGCC